GGGCCGTCGTCTTACCGACCCACAGCCAGGGCCAAAACAGTCTGACAGGTTAAGACAAAGCCCGGGGATGGTCTGTCTGTCTGACCACTCTTAAAAAAGGTCTGGCCTAAGATGCAGACAGACCAAAGTTGAGGCCGGCCAGCAGCAGCATGATCGCTGCTTTGGGCACAGAAGCCATGGCCGCCAGCGTCTGACATGCAAAGAAATGGTTGCAAAGACTTAAGTCGAACGTGCACCCATGCAAACGAGAGGTCTCGGCAAGAGTCAACTCTGCGACGTCTGCATCCGTCTTACATAGCATGTTCGAATTTGCAGTCAGATGCGAGGCCACCACCTCGAACTGCGGGTCCAACACCTTGAACCTCTTAGTCTTGCGACCTCCATCCAGGAAGACCGAAGTCGGTCGGTCTAACGCCCTCTTGAGGATGTTCCTGGTGTCACACGTGCTTCGTGGGTATTTTCCAGCCTCCGCACCTGCTATCCGACATCTGCGAAGAAAAAGTCTTAGTCAGTGCTACATAATTATTACACCAAATGCACATTAAAATTAAAAAGAACCAACCCCGCCTTTCTTAGCAGCAAGCTGCATGGCTTGCTCTGACGATATGTTGGCGCCTCCAGTGGCGAGATAAGTCCCGAGGTCATGCTCCAACTGCTCCAGGACTTGACGATACTTGGTCTTTGTCTCGGAAGCAACGGTCTCACCAGAGCTGGAGAACCTCAATCACGCAACATGTTGTCCATTACAACAACGACGACGACTGTCAAAATTAAACATGCAACCGAGCCACATGAGGATGAAACAACTTCGGTCTGACTGCTGCGATGGATGTCCTTGGAACTCCTCGGCCATTTGACATCTCTTACCGTTGCCAGTAATTAAGTCAGACTCTTCGGTCTCCAAAACGAGCCGGAAATAAGCTGCTTTGCTGGCATGCAAGTCAACGTGGAGGACGACAGTGGAGACTTTCTCTGACACCTTCTGGATCTTCGCCAGGTGTTTGTTGAAGTCTTTGTCTGACTTCCAAACCACGTGTGCCAGGAGCATTCGCCTAGCCACATCCGCTGCGTCTGACGAAAGCTTGCTAGCAGCATTGAAAGTCATACCAGCTGGAAAATGCTTGTTGCACCGCATGCGAAGTTCCTGGTCCTCGCGGCTATCCACCAACATCTTACACTTAACCTTTGCCCTCACGAAAGCGCTACTTGTCAGACAGTAGAATACCGCTGGATGCTGGTAAGTCAGAACGTCGATGTCTGCCGCAGCCTGGCCCAATCTGTCACTGTAGCCGGAAAGATTCATGGCGGTTTGCTGGCTTTGACTGGCTGAGAATTACAGAAAAATAATTAATTATAGTAGGCCAAGAACTAGAATCGCTGATCTGACTGGCAATAGCTGTGTCTGTGTTCCTCCGGTGTCTGACTGTAATCCAAAACTGATAATTAATCCCAGGCATTGTCCCGGTGTCAACAGCGCACTGTCAGCGAGCATCACTACAATCACTCTGACGGGCACATTTTTCCTCGAACCTCAGAGTCATGTGTCGGCAGCTTGGTGTCCTGACTCTAGGCTGGCCCATGCCCCATGGGAGTCGAATCTAAACTGCAAATCTACTACTCATATTGCTCATGATTCTGATTCTAAAATAAAATTAATTATAGTTTAACTTGGTCTTACTTTTAATAGTTAAATTTAAACAGATTCAACAACCCAGGGCCAGCCCCTGTGTCTGACGAATGGAACGAGTCATAACGATCGACAGACTCAGTCGAGTCGACCTTGAACCAAGACCTCTCTCTGACGTCTACATCCAAAATTAAAATCATCTGACGGAAGCGTGGTGAATCACACCTCCGGGTCGCTGTCTGACGCATTGCTCCTGCTGTCATTGCTCTGCAGGTCACTCATCTGACGCTTTCGCTTCAGCGTCGGCCGTGGCTCTGGCTGCTCCGTCTGACTTTCCTGCAGCTCGTTCGTCTGACTGTTGCTGCCGTCGATGCGGCCATCTCCATTGGAGCTGTGGCCTCCATCCAAGGATCTGACGCGGCTGAGCACACGACGTGTGAAGCCATTGTTCACACCTCTGACGACCTCCAGCATGATCTGAAATGTCAGTGTCTGACGCAAGGCGTCTGACTGCGAGGGCAAGCAAAACGCCACGTATGGAACCCTCTCTCTGACGGCTTGCAGCGCTGCCATCCCCGGTCCCGGTGTGAAATCCACAATCCGGTAGGTGCCCGGGCGTCTGACTCCATACAGGTTGAACATCTCGGCCCAGAAGAGTTCTGACGGGGACCATGCGAACCACTGGCAGCAACGATCATCCGTGTTGGCGCCGTCGGGAATGGGCTCTGACCCTTGGCTATCCTGCTGCTCGCCTGGCATATGATCTGACGGATCAGGAACTTCTCCGTCACTGTCTGGCTGTGAGGCTGCTTTGTCTGACGACGAGGAAGCAGCACCCACCTTCTTCATCATCTGACTGAGCACGTCCCTTTTGACCATAATGTTGGCCTCTGACTGCGTGCGGATGCTCAAGCCCTGCAAGCTTCTGGTGTAGTTGCTGCCTGGGAGGTCCAACCATTTCCTTTCACGCGTCTCCATCGTACATTTTGTCTTACCGAAGACAAACATGTTCTCCACAGGGTCCGGCAATGCAATTCTGCTCGTGATTTTGCCCATGGAGCCATTCTTTCTGACGTAACCATCCTTGGTAAACTCGTTGTTGTGGTAGCAGAGTCTGACCGGTACGGCGAGTGGCTTCTTCGGGTAGTCCGACATGGGGCACATCTTCAGGATTTGTCTGACCTTGTCTCAAATATGATATGAAGACTAAACCTTTAATATTCAATGGTTCATTCAGAATCCTGTCTCACCTATCTTGTGCAAGTCAAGACGCGAGGCGACCCATCTTGTTGAAGTTGCTCGACCTGCGGGCATCCTTCAGGAACAAGAGGTCATTCTTGCGGAAGAATGTATCTGTCGCTGAAGGATCACCCTCTGGCGCCAACAGTGCCGTCAGCACGCTCTGGTAATGACTTTCGTCCAGTGGAGGAAGCAGTCGATAGGTCTTACCAGACAATGCAGCCCTGTCGTACCGGCACGTTGCATCATAGATGTACAGTACCCTGTCAACCTTCCCCCCGGACTGGGCCAGGGCCTCTTTCCACTTGCTGTTGTCTGGCTCCTCAATGAACGTAGCGTACTGTGTCAGACCTGAGAGGCCGGTGGTCTGACACACAAAATTGCAATAATAATGGGTTCATGACCTGACTGACTGAAGCCTCAGGGTTTCTTAAAAGTAAGAACCTGACGAGAGCTGGCAACGGAATACATGTTCTGCACGGCATCTGGCGAGACGTTGTGGAAGCTGTCTAACGCCAGACTGGGCAGAGTCAGTGAAGGAAAAAGATCTGACTCCAACATCTGACGAACCATTTCGTTTTCCTTGCTGATCACCTGCTCGTCCTCATTCTCCGCGAGAAGCTCGTCCACTACGGGCTTTTCGACAGAATGATCTGACGTAAGATGCTGTCCCAGAACCAGGGTGGCCTGCGAGTCATTGCCATCGTCCACAACACTCTCCGAGGCTGCGGTCTGACTGTCCTGCTCGCCAGCTGCCGGCGTCGTACTCGGTGGCGGTGGCGGTGCGGTCTCCTCCTCGTGCAGCTGAAGAATCTTGCCCAAGTCAAACAAATCCTTGCTGGCGGTTGCAAACAGGAAATTTGTTTTAAAAGTGAAAACCCACACTTGCTTCTTTGTCAAAACTCTGGGTCCTCGGAGGCGAAGTCTGACGATGCCAGAATACCTTCTGCTGACATGTTCGAGTCTCTGGAAAGGCATTTCAGGAGAATGTGGTCCGCGTTCCCGTCATACAGCATGTGGAGACCTGGTGTCTAACAGTAACACCAAATCAAATCAGCACGCAAATGAAGCTATGGCGGGCATGCCGAATCAGACAAGCTACCCGTGGCTGCCGCTCGCTCTGACGGTCTGACGAACTTCTCCGTAAACGCTGTGACCTCTGGCGTGTTGCCGCCAGCAAGCTCCATGAACTTGCCACGAGGGAACATGATATGGAAGTCTGACCAGTCGCCAAAAACCGTTCCGATGTTCTTACATTGGATCTTCCAGGCCACATAATGGGAGATCCGACGCAAGGCCAGGAAACACGGGATGACCTTGTGGCGGATGTCCTCTCTGACGTTTTGTGCCAACGTGCCCCTGAGCAGTCTGACATGAATCCCAGCCACAACGAAGTTCAGCAGCTTGTCTTGCAGCGGAAGGTTCTTGGGGCATGACGTCTTACCGCAGAGGGTGTCGAGCGCGGCCCATTTGGCCAAGGGGTGTGTCTTACCGAAAGCGTACTCCAAGCCGTCCAAATGGTTGATTGCCACTTCAGTCATACGTTTCACGATCTTCAAGTGGCACTCCACGGTCTTCTGACCGATGGTCTCCTCCGCGAAGTTGATCTTGGAGAACCAAGCCGCAACGTCTGACGATGTATGCGGCTTGTTCTGACGCTTCAGTGATTCTGACACCTGGTGAGTTTGAAGGCACTCCTTGTAGCCAAAAAGCTGGGCCGTCAGAGCGTCCGACTTGATGTTCTCCTCAAGCTGTCGCCGGAGCCTTGTCTGACAGGAACCCAAGGCACACCGAACCACACTGGGGGACTGCAAAACTCGACTCTGGTTTGCAGCCCGGATGCACACCAAACTCGTCGTCTGACACGACCAGCTGGAAAGTAACGGCTACAGAGCAGCTGGCTTCCTCGAACCTCTTGACCACATCCATGGCTTTGGTCTCACGTGCTTGCGCGAACCCCATGAGCCAGCCCATCCTGAAGACGCTCTTGTCGGCGACTTCCCATGTCCCCGCCTCGGGAGGCGAAGTCTTACTGGTAGCACGGATCCTGAGTTGATTCCATGCTGACGCGTCTGGCCGTGCCTTCTTGGTACACACAGCCGGGATGAAACTTAAAATTAATCCATGCAAGATTCGTAGTGGCATGCTGCGGCTGGCAAATCTTATCCGTCAGGAGACCATCTGACGTACAGAAGTGGTGCTTGTAACTTCTGACAATACTTCCGTAGTTTGGCCAGACATCTGACTCGAATGCCTCAGCTGACATGAATAGAACAGGGACCGGTGAACTGAGCGATCAGTCTATGGACTGCGACGCTGTCTGACTGCCTCAGGCTGGTGCCACCAAACCGAGCCAGTGCAAGGGCACCACACACGTGTACTTGCCTTTGTCTGACATCTCCTGAGCGTAGTTGGCGCAGTCAAACGCCTGGATGCCAGCGTAGGCAATGGGTCTGACATCGGACTTCTCCATCTCCTCGACATAGTCCAGAAGAGGTGCCAGGATGTCTGCCGCCACACGCCTGTGATTGTGCACCGGCGAGGTGCTCATGCTTGACACCGTCGCCGCTGCTTTCTGAGACGGTGTCTGACAAGCTTCCTGCTGAGTCTTACAGTCAGCTGGCTTCTCCGCAGCCTTGGCCTGAGCTGCCTTCGGCTGAGCTGCCTTCGGCTGAGCCCCCTTCGTCTTCGGCTTAGGAGCCACGGGGTCTGACAAACAGCGTCGCTTGATCGTCAATCTGACAGCTGCAGCAGCAAACTAAATGCCCCGTGAGCTCGTGAACCGTAAATGGTCCTACACGCAAGCTAAAGACTGCAAAGCCAGTCCTGGTTGTCCGACCAAAGTCCGCCATATGTTCCTGTAGGCACCTGTGACAAAAGCACAAGTTCCCAAAAGCATGTCATTGTCAGATTAAGATGCAACACCAAACGACGGGACGCTAGTTAGGCCTCCGGCGTCAGGCGCCCCAACTTGTGTCCGCAGCGTGCTGAGGACGCTAGTTGGGCCTCTGCAGGGCCAAATGTCCCAACATGGCAAAGTGTGTCCAGGGTCGCAATGGTCTGGGAGGGGGTTTAAGAGGCCCAACTTGTGTCCGCAGCGTGCTGAGGACGCTAGTTGGGCTTGCGGAATCGGAAGGCCCAACTTGTGTCCCACGCAATCATTTTCATCGCACACGATGACGGTCTGACCATCCAAAATCTGTGCATTAACACTCTTGCTGACTTGCTTCTGCCAGCATGCCTGCCGCACCATTTCTGATCTGACATAACAAAATTGAATTTGGTGCACTGATGGTCAGACTCAGCGTCAGCCTTTCACTCACATCAGGGCGAGCTCCATGTGAAATTTACAAAGCGTGTCTGACTTTGAGTTCGCTTGCAAAGCACACTTCCTCTGAAATGCTGCTGCTCTGACAAACACGTCGTCGATGAAGAGC